CGAGAACTTATATGATAGTTTTGTTTAATGTATATAAAATGCAATCATTATAAATTCAAATAATAGAAATTACTATTTTAATTTGGTAAAAAGTCATTTAGCAACATTTTAAAATGATTTATATTGTATAAAAACTTAAAAAGTAATGAAAAACATTCCCATTTAAGATATCAGATTCGGGAAAGTACCCAAATTTTCTCACTTTTGGAATTCAAGAACTGCACCACAAATATTTTGGCTATTCAGTCTCAAATATTTTCATCAAAATATCATTTGCAATGTTTCAATGTCTTAGGTACAGCATATTTGCTACACTAAATATCCAGGTATATAGTTGATATGATCAGAACATCTTCCCTGGCTCTTAATGTAATCCTGTACTGTGGAACACTGGTCCTTGATTACATCTATTCATCTTCTACCGTGTTTTAATAACACAAGTGACACCTAAGAAATTTTTCCTCGATATTTTAATAAACTAAGCCTGGACAGACAGTGGAAGGTGAAAATAGGTTAAATTGGCATTGATTATTTAACATACATTCATCATTTAACAGTCTCCGTCATCATAAGAACTACTGTGTTTGCACTGCACACTGAAATGCTCCAAATTGACTTTCGTAGAATTCTTGCCATGTGCACCAGCACTCAGAGCACACTGTGTACTAACATTAGTTTCAAATCCCCTGACAAATCAGTGGCAAGCTGGCAGTTTATATCACAAACTTCTAAACTTATGCACTGTGGTGGATCTTTTTAATAGATTTCACTATAATTAATGTTTTCGTGGGATTCCATTTCTTATCTGAAATGAAATGTGTAGCATCAGTTTTCTTTTAAAACAAATTTTATTAATGGTTACTTCTAGTTTCATATATTCTGATATTCATATCACTGAAACACAATCCATAATGATTGGTAAAGAACAATTTATGTTTATTATTGATAGCTTGAGGAAGAAGGCAGGAGAGTATAAGAATCATCCACAATGTGCAAGATTTCTACAGCATTTCTCCTTCCTCTTCTCTAGTAAATGCTATATTGAAAGTACAATTTGGTATTCTACATATGTGAAAATTGAAATCAGACTATCTTTTCTGAGAAAAGTGTTATTAAGAATAAATAACTTAGGGCCCAGCGCGGTGGCGCAAGTAGTTTAGGTCCTCGCCTTGCACGCCCGGGATCCCATATGGGCGCCGGTTCTATCCCAGCAGCCCCGCTTCCCTTCCAGCTCCCTGCCTGTGGCCCGGGAAAGCAGTCGAGGACGGCCCAAAGCTTTGGGACCCTGCACCCGTGTGGGAGACCAGGAAGAGGCTCCTGGCTTTGGATTGGCATAGTTTCGGCCCTTTACGCTCACTTGGGGAGTGAGTCATGAGACGGAAGATCTTCCTCTCTGTCTCTCCTCTCTGTATATCTGCCTTTCCAATAAAAAATAATAAAAATAAATCTTTAAAAAAAAAGAATAAATAACTTATTGCACATGACAATAAAAGATTACAGATATGGAAAGGTATCGAAAATATACTTGTTGTTCATGGGAAAACTTAAGTTACTACAGAATTACATATATTCTATAGTCACCCAGCTCATCATATTTAAGCACCTTATTTATTTCTGAATTGTTTATTTAAAACAACTGCTTCCCTAGATTCCTGCACCACTATCTAAAAAAAGTCAAAGTCTACTACTACAGTGAATGCTAATTATGTTCATCAGTATTTTCAGGGCCTAATTTGCCAATTCCATGTCCTATAATACATTGTGGAAGAGTATCCCACTGTAAATTTACTCCCTGAAATATTTTGAATTGGTTAGCCCTAGATACTGCAGACCCAAAAAATAATTCTGAAAAGTCCTTTTCTGAGGAAGTGCGCATCTACCAGACTTGGAAAGTGACAGTGATGCACAGGCATAGGCTGTCCTAGCTGCCCTCCCAGTCTCCCAACACACCCCAAACAGGATCCTCTCCTTTCACAGAGACCTGATAGTACTGGAGGACCTCATTTTTATAACATGCTAACCCTTGCATGCCGTGTATCTCCTCCTCCACCCTTTCACAGTTTGTGCCACCTTCCTTTCCCCTAGAAAACCAAGCTTTTACCAGTCTAAGCTTCACAAAAGGTTCAGACTCTGTGCTTCTCTTTGAGTCTCACACTCTTTGACTCTCACACTTCTGAGATCTGAACAAGTAATAAAATGTGTGTGTTGTTCTATTATGTTTCTGTTGTTAGCCTATTCCATAAACTTATATTACCAAAATGTGAAGAACAAGAGTAAACTCAGACCTTACCTTCAATAGGGAAATGTGAAATATGGAATTATAGAAGAGATGATTATTCTGTAACAACTACCCAAATACCATCTATTCTCTCTGATATAAGACAACCTTCATGCAAAATGCAAAACAAATATATAGGTAAACCAGTAAATACATATATTCTCTCTGATAAACTGTGCATTGTAGACTAGCATACTGGGAACTGAAGACATGCTGCAGTATGCATCTTTACTCTCAAATAAAAGGAGGAGTCCTAATGAAACCGCTAAACATACCTTGACAACTGGTTTCTAGATCTTTTAACATCGCTTAAAACTACAATGCCATGGTACACTTAAATTGCAGTTACTCAATAACTGTTACTAAAGGACTATATTTCTGTAATAATATGGGGGAAATGGTGGGGGGGGAGATAGGGAGGCAGAAAGGGGAGGGAAGGGAAAAACCCCTATACCTACAAAATTTTACCATAAAAATAATAATATCAATAAAAATATTAACATAAAAAAGAACCTTGGAAATCCTAACAATTTTGCAAGGGAATTCTTTGTGGACTCACTGCTAAAAAAAATAATTATCATGTAACCCTTTTTTAAAACCAGGAAAATACAGTTAGCTTTCATGGTTACAGATAAAAGCAATAAACAATGAAGACTACATGAGAAATAACTAAGTTAATGGTGTTGTTTTAAAGTTATTATTTACATGTTTAGAGAATTAAATAGCTGGATGTAAGTTTTTTGTTTTGTTTTGTTTTGTTTTTTATTTTTAGAAAATAAGGAAGTTATGTATACATAGGAAACTCCTAAAGGGCTTCTAGGAGTCGTGGTGGTAGGGTAACTGTCCATAGGTGAATTTTCACAGGCTTCACTTTCAATCCCCAGTAATCAAGGTTGACAACAAATGGTACTACTGATAAAGCTAATAGAGTTACACAGAAGTTTTACATTTTATATGAATGCTCAGATGTTAAGAATGCTTTAATTTGAACAAGACTGAGTAAATGATTCCAAAAGGCTAAGGATTTCAAATTTTCCCTGTTTTAACAATTCAGTACTTTCAATAAAAGTCTGGATTCCCATGAAGATCGTGGAGTAGTGAAAAAGCATTTTCACTTTCTACAAGTTCAACTAATCTAGCTGAAAGACGATGACTTTGAAGTAGGTAGATTCTAAATTGACTTATACCTGTGTTGCATCATGCAGTTACATTGAAATGAGTTTCAAGGGAAGTAAAGCTATACTATCCCTACTGAATATTTCTCTAATTTACAGCTTTATAAATACGTAGGTTATCATTCATAAAATTCACAATGGTTCACACCGCAGGATTGATGCAAATATCACTTCCGGAAAAATTTTATACAAGCAAATAAATCCTCAAATGCAATCATCAATAGTGAACCACAAAATGTTTTCTTTAAACATTAATATCAACTGAACTTAATGAAACATAACACTGGCATTCATCAAGTATTGCAATAACAAGGTTATATATAACATGGAAAATATCTAGATTTCTAGAGCAAACATTTTAAATTGAAAGTGATATAAGAGGTCAAAAGAAAAGTTTAAAGCAAGGGTAAGAATGAGTGAGGGAGAGGGGTGCCATTTTTGTGATTCGCTCCCCAGATGACCACAGCAGTCAGGAGTGGGTCAGGCCAAAGCCAAGAGCCAAGAATTCCACTGAGGTCTAACAACAGCGACAGAACTCAACTGCTCTTACCATCATTTGCTGTCTTTCCAGGCATATTAGCAGGAAGTTGGATGGGAAGGCAGAGGCAGGCCTCAATCCCAGGCACACCAGAGTGGAGTATGAGCGTCCCAAGCTTCTCCACAATGCTTGCTGTTTATTTTGCTAACTATAATGAAGATTTGCTTATAAAACTATCTTATCATTATGGTATTCATCTTAACGAATCTTAAAATCATTGCACTTCTGTTCTCAACAAAGCACTAAAAATTATAATAAATGCCTTTAAACAGAAGACTGACATTTTTGCAAATGTTAGCCGATGATGAAGATGATAATTCTTTTATGTTTGCATCAAAGGGAAGTTTAAAATCACAAACTTAGGAAAAATGAAGAGTTCATACTCAAGTTTAAGAAAAGACATATTTATATAGAACTTTTCAAGATCATCCGGTGTTACTAGAAACAATACTGTATGAAAATACGCTTTACAAACCTTCTGACAGTTTCACAAGCACTTCACACTCAGGGAAAAAAATATTGATATTCAATTAAATTCTGCTGCCTGCACTGAAGTCCAAGTGGTAAAATGCTATTATAAATTTCTCTGCACAGTTGAGTTTTCTTTCTTATATCTGCATGTAAAAATGATGAGTTTGGCCTCTGGTGACTGCAAACATAGTAACTTTATTAATCTGTTAATAGATAAATTACTACTTTAAAAAACTAAATTGTCTTATTGGTCTAATATGTACCTTTCACATGTCTGCAAATTCACTACACAAGAGACAATTTTAGACATGTTGGTTTAAAAAAAAAAAGTAATAAGGAATTGGTATGCTAGTTGGTGCCTGTAATTATCTTTTTCAGTTCCACGAGGTATTTGGGAATTGTTTAAGAGCAAAAGATGAATGTTGCAGTCCTAAGTCCCATTAAATCAAGGCATGGACACAGCAGCAGCCACGGTAAATAAGCTGTGGAAGCTGAATACCAATAAAGAAGATAAAAATGGTTTTACACAACTACTTACATCACAGCCTAGAAGTTCAGTCTGTGTGGATTTATCTACTCTTGAAGCAAAAGCCTTCTGTAAATGTTGGACTTTTTCCTATAAATGAAAAAGAAATACATATATTTTTGCATTGGTTAGTCAAGTGCATCTACACCATATTTTCCCAATTATTAAAATTTCGAGTGTAATTCATGATCTTCTCTGCATGTGCACCTTGCTTATTCAGTGTTTTTCACTGTTTTGTCAAGTCACCCCATCCCACATGAAAGCATTTTTCTCCTAGTACAAAAGCCACTGAGTCAGAATCACAGTTAAACATGAGACATGATACGCTTCATCTGAGAGTAAATGCTTATTTTGTATTTCTGATAGTGTATTCTGATATACTGATTATATTCTTCTTATTTGATGCACAGAATTTCTATTTAAAATGTAAAACATTTTCAATCAGTGATACTACTGACGAAGCCTGATAACAAATCCCCTTCTCCTCTTCCCTCTGCCCCTCCCACAATCCCTTAATTTTTTTTCTCCAGTTCCACTGATATTTGCCAGAGATCTTAATAATGTATTCATGATTGATAAAAATATAATTTACTTCAATTCACTGAAAAACAGAAAGGAAACACTTCTTAGACTATTAATGTCTTATACTCTTATACTCTCTAATCAGAAAATTCCCAATGCCACTCTTCAGACAAAAAAAGAAACACAGATGAGTTAACTCACAGAGCTGCAATATGGGGGACCTTCTTTGTGAAACAACAGGTTAAGTCACCATCAACAAAGTGTGGGTCAAATCCCTGCTGCCTTACTTCTAAACCAGCTCCCTGCTAATGTGTCTGAAAAAGCAGCAGAAGATGACCTAAAATGTGGGCCACTGCACCCACATGGGAGCTCCAGGTGGAGTTTCATGCTCCTGGCTTCCGTCTGGTCAGCCCCAGCCGTTGTGGCCATTTGGGGAGTTAGTCAGTATATGAAAAATGTCTCTTGTTTCTGTCACTTGCTGTTTCTCCCTTTAAATTTTCCTTTCAAATAATACAAATTTTAAATCACCTATGATGTTAAAGCTTAATTGACAAAAAATGTAAGTGAAAATGTGGCTGTTCTTTTCAAACTTAATTGTGTATATTTACTTGAAAGACAAAGTGACAGAAGTGCAGAGAATAAGAGATATCTTCCATTCAGCGCATCCTCCTATTTGCCTCCAAGAGCCAGGGTTGGGGCGGGGAAAAGCCAGGAGCCAGGAAGAGATTCTCGATCTGCACGTTAGCAGGAATCTGGATCAGAAATATGGAATAGCTGGGACTGCGACCAACGCACTGAAATGGGATAAAGATGGTCCCAAGCAGCCCCCTGTTCAACACCTGTCCCCCAGGCTAAGCTTTAAATAAGCAGCAATTTTGACTCACATTGAGTTGGTAAAGTAATTAATAAAATTTAGTATCATTGAAACACCATTTAGAAAGTTTTTTTTCTACTTTTAGTAGAGACTGGAAGTGCAGATATTTGAAAAGTAAATTTATTCCAACTATGTAGGCAGGCCAACTTTTGTGTTATTAGAGACTGCCACTAATGTATAAGGCAAGGAATGTTTAAGGCAGGAAACAGATGGCAATGCTTGCCTTACGCTTCAGCTCCCATTTCTATTTTCAAAAGCTTCCATGGCTCATTGGTCCCAGTTATAAGACTAAGGAATTTCAGATAAAGTAAAATGAAAAATGTAAACAGCTTCATTAACCAATAACCTAATCAAATTAAAACAAATAAACAACTACAAAAATTTAATTCTCCTAAATAAACTCATTTCTGGTAGAAAAAAAAACATGTTTCTGACGAATTTTATTTTCGCTCCTTCTTACAGGCGGTGGTCATACAGGTATGAGCTTTGAATTTTGTGTCCTATTCAAATATGGAAGGAAATTACAAGTTTCCCATAGACTTAGGACAAAATAATTAAGAAAGCTTTAGTGTGTAACAGAAGGCAATTAATGTATAAACTTTTTTTATTATCTTCCTATAATAAAAAAAATAGAAGATTAAGTAAATATTGAAGACTATGTAGTTCCTGTAAGACAATCCTCCCTGCGTCCTTAAATTATCCTAAGATTGATAGTGATTTTCAGATTGGGCAATTTAATAAATAATAAACAGGGTGTTAGAGATCAACAAGGAAAAAAACTACCAGCCAAAAAAAAAAAAAGAAAGAAAGAAACTATGAATGAGTGATAGGATTGTTGAGTAGGCATGACAAAGACATGCATTAACAGTACCAGCTCCAAATTGCCTAAGCAGAATTGGTGAAAGTGACAGGAGCCAATCAAGTCTACACCAGAAACCACAGAATGCTATGTCTCTTAAAATATTATTTAACAATTACAGGTCAGAAAATATGTTACCTAAAGCACAGCAGAATTTACTTAAACAAGTCCTCTGGGTTCAGTATCACAGTCTATGTAGTTAAGCCACCATTTCCCACCCTGTCATCCCAGTGGCTGTTTCTGACCTATCTCCCTGTTAACACATCTGGGAAAACAGAAGGTGGACTAAGTGCTCCTGCCTCTGTTACCCATTTGGGACACCTGGGTAAATTCCTTAATTACAGGAATCTGCATATAGATAGATAGATATGCAGATGAACCATCTCTACACACACCCCAAAGGCCCTAACTCTGCCTTTCACCTTATACAATACGCAAGGAAGGGAGTTAGAAAGAGGCCACAAGGAGAATAAATATTGAACATTACTTACCCTGACCACCAATTAATTTGTCTTATGTAATGTAATGTGGCTCTGCTACAGTATTCTCCAGTGTAAGGGCATATTGTAATTTGTCTTATGTACTCTCAGAGGGAGAGTAGAGAATTAAAACAACTCAACCTCTGGTAGATAAATGATATAAATATAGCTATATTCCAGGCAAATTATCTAATTATCTTTAAGACCTCCTGATCGAGCAATGAGAATATTAATACTTAAGAAAACACTTTCTTGGTCCTTTATCATTTACAATTAGTGTTTGTGTGCTTAAAGCAAACAAGATTTGCACAGTCAGCTGAAAAACATAAAAAAATATAATGAACAAGAAATACCATGATTTTCATTTGTTGTTACTTGTTGCTTCTTTTGAGTCCTTGAAAATATGGAGGTCTAAAAATGTTACATTCTAGTACACTATGAACAAACTTATAATTGATTTTCTCTCAAAATTTCCAAGTTGCTTCATCTGCAACAAAGTAATATAACATCTGTCCAATCAATTATAAAGATTAAAAGCATGTAAACAAAGTAGATAGGTCATTCATAAGTTTACTAATACTTGGCTATATTTACATTCTCTTTCCTTCCTAATTTTTACTATCATAAATGTTGTACACAATTAAAAAATGTCAATAGACTATAGGTTATATGCCAGGCACTACATCATGAGAGAGAGAGAGAGAGATGTGAGTTAGAAAGAAAAGGGATAGAGAGAAGTATGACATGTGAAAACACAGAAAGATATGTCTTTATTGTTTAATTTAAAAAAGCATGCTTAGGTTTTTCCTATTATGTATTTCCATGAATTTTTGAACCCCCCCCAACATGTACATATGTTAGTCTGTAACTTCTCAATAACATATGATATCTTTGTCATTGTCTCTTGATTAAAAAATAGAAGACTTGGGCCCAGCGGCGTGGTCCAGTGGTTAAGGTCCTCGCCTTGAACGCTCCGGGATCCCATATGGGTGCCGGTTCTAATCCCAGCAGCTCCACTTCCCATCCAGCTCCCTGCTTGTGGCCTGGGAAAGCAGTCGAGGACAGCCCAAAGCTTTGGGACCCTGCACCCACATGGGAGACCAGGAAAGAAGTTCCTGGCTCTTGGCTTCAGATCGGTGCAGCACCAGCTGTTGCAGTCATTTGGGGAGTGAATCATCGGACGGAAGATCTTCCTCTCTGTCTCTCCTCCTCTCTGTATATCTGACTTTGTAATAAAGATAAATAAATTAAAAAAAAATAGAAGACTTAACACCTAACAATTTGAAATCAGTCACTAAAGATCAAAGAAGACAGTGGAACATCCAATATGAAAATCTATAACTGTCTCCAAGTCTGGATGGCCTTTTGATAAAGCCACTGGACTCTGTAAAAGCTTCAAATTAGTGTTAATGGCTTCACCTATTATATGCAAGAAAAACATCCAGTATGTACTTTATATCTGCTATACAGCTAATAATTGCAGGTAGCAGTAAAACTATTTCCATGTTCTATCTGCCTTTGTTATTTTGCTGTACTCTAGAAATTATTTAAGATTCTTTACAGTCTACTAATGCATTTCAATTAATAGCTATTCTTCTAAAGAATATCCGTTACTATAAATATAACAAGCAGTACATTTTGAAGCAAGAGTTAGGAATAAAGTAACAAAAATTAATCAAGTTATGTAAAACAAAAACAAGACACAAATGTTGAAAAGGTACAATGTCATTTGGATGGCAATGATATTATGTGCTTAAACAGAGTAATAAAAACACTCTTTTAAGCTCTTACAATAATTTTAGAGTAAATAAGTACATGAATGTGTGTATATATAATAGATTTTCATAAGATCTTTCTCTATGACATATGCTCACAATTTTATAATTTATATTTCATCAATCAAAAATGTGTCTAGGGACCCTCATGGTGGCTCAACAGGGCTATCTTCTGCCTGTTGCACCAGTATCCAATACGGGTGCTAGTTCTAGTCCCAGCTACTCCTTTTCAGAATCAATTCCCTGCTTAAGGACTGGGAAAGCAGCAGAGGATGGCTTAAGTCGCTGGCCTCTGCATCAACCTGGGAGAGCCAGAAGTTACTGGCTCCCAGCCTTGATAAGATAAGCTCCAGCTGTTGCGGACACGTTGATTTGGATTTGGGAGTGACTCAGCAGATGGAAGCTTCTCATTCTCTCTCTCTCTTTCTCTCTCCCTCCCTTCCTCTCTTTCTCCCCCTTCTCTCTGTAAATGTTCTTTTCAAATAAAATAACAATTTTTAAAAAATGTGTCTAGAGGAGCTAATATTGAGGAACAGAGGATAAAGTGGCAAAATGTATCACTGCCATCTTGTCTTTAGAGT